ACCCTATTTTCTGTATCCATGGGTTAAGCATATATGCATATAAGTTCTTTGGTTGATGTCTTTCCTCTTTCCACCCACCCCTACCTTCCCTCTGTGATTCCACAGTCTATTCCATGCTTCTATGTCTCTGGATCTGTTTTGTTCATCAGTTTATTTTATTCATTAGATTCCACATATGAGTGAGATCATGTGATACTTGTCTTTCTCTGACTGGCTTATTTTGCTTAGCATAATATTCTCCAGGTCCCTCCATGGTGTCTCAAAGGGTAAGAGATCCTCCTTTTTTTACTGCTTCATAGTATTCCATGGTCTACTGGTAAATGTGCCACAGCTTTTTGATTGTTGATTTGTTGATGATAGCCATTCTGGCAGGTGTGAGATGATAACGCATTGTCGTTTTGATTTGAATCTCTCGTATAATTAGTGACTTTGAGCAGGTTTTCATATGTCTTTTGGCTTTCTGAATGTCCTACTTTTGAAAGGTGTCTATTTAGGTCCTTTGCCCATTTTTTAATTGGATTTTTGTCTTCCATTTGTTAAGTTGTATGAGTTCCTTATATGTTTTGGATATTAACCTTTTATCAGATGTATCATTGCCAAATATGTTCTCCTATACAAGTGGGCTCCCTTTTCATTTTGTTGATGGTTTCTTTTGCTGTGCAGAAGCTTTTTATTTTGATGTAGTCTCATTTGTTTATCTCCTTAGTTTTCTTTGCCCTGGGAGATGTATCCGTAAACATATTACTGCGAGAGATGTCTGATTTTGCTGCGTATGGTTTCTTCTAGGATTTTTTATGGTTTCACATCTTACATTGAAACCTTTTGAGTTTATTCATTTTTAGTTTATTCTTGTGTGTGGTGTAACTTGTTGGTCTATTTTCATTTTTTTGCATGTATCTGTCCACTATTTGCAACAGCATTTATTGAAGAGACTGTCTTGATTCCGTTGTATGCTCTTGCCTCCTTTGTCAAATATTAATTGAGCGTAATGGCTTGGGTAAATTTCTAGGGTCTCTGTTCTGTTCCTTTTATCTCTATGCCTATTCTTGGGCCAGTACCAGGCTGTTTTGATTATAGTGGCTTTGTAGTATAACTTGATATCTGATATTGTGATCCCTCCAACTTTGTTCTTCTTTCTCACGATTGCTAGCAGACTGATACAAAGTTGATAATTTTTATGGCCCTCGAATGATGTTACAAATATCCAAATGGCCCTTGACAGAAAAATGGTTCCCCACCCCTACCTTAGACATTATCATGGGGACTTTGCATTTTTCATTGAGTTGGGAAGCCCTTGGAGGTTTTAGGGAGAGAAGCAAGCATGATCTGATTTAAGTTTTAAAATGATGACTAGTTGCTGTATTCAGCACAGATAATAGCAGAGCAAATGCAAAAAAGGGGAGACAAATTAGTAGCCTTGTTGAGGCATGGGTGCATATTGTGTACCTAGAATGCCTCCTCAATATTAAATTGGTTTTATAGTTCTACTTACTGGGCTTTAGAAATTATTTTCATTCAGCTGGTATTTACTCAAATACAGCTTAAATTTGCTACAATAGCAATAGAAATAATTTTCTAAATATAATGAAGTACACTGCTTTTGTAGCTTGGTTGACTACCAATGGGAAATAATAATACTTTACAATTATATAGAGTGTTTGAGAGTTTAAAATGCAGTGTTTATTCATTATCTCATCTAATCCTCACAGTTTTTTAAGATTGACACATGGTTGTTTCCTTACAGAGGTGGACACTGAAACATTACATCCCAAGTATATTGCAGGGCCCCCAAAAAACTAAAACCCAGGTCTTTTCTCCTCATCTGAATCCATTGGTTTTGATTAAAGGAGTCTGTTATGTTCAAATGATGTCTCAAGATGTTGGTGGGAAAGGGGACACTTAATATAGCAAATTTAGTATATTGTTTGAAGACCATGAACTAGTGAGCAAGATACTATGCTTGGAAGAGATACATACAAAGACAAAGATGTCTAAAACATATTCCTACCCTGTGAACTTAATACTTGGGTGGTGATACTTATAACAGTAAATATGGTAAATAACTACTACTAAAAAATGTCATATGCTCAGTTTCAAACAAATGATACAGCCAGTAAATAGTAAATTCTTTAGCAGTTCAAAGGAGGCAGTGATTCTGATGGCCTGAGTATTTAGGGCAACAGGGAGGAGGATACCTGAGCTAAAGAATGGGCAGGATTCAGTCAGACAATATTAAAGAAGGGTTTCTAAACCTGGCGGGGGGGG